TCTCATGCTTTTCATTCCCAATTTTATATTTGTAAAATGTTATAGCTGGGAATCTAATCTCGCAAGGAGCGGTCCTCTGGCTCGCATTGTGTTATGTCTCGCTCAGTTTCAATTCCTTTGCGGGACAGCGTTGAAGATGTGAGTTTTTTCAAGCTTTTTTCTTTATCGAATTCCCCCTGAAATGATATCTTTTTATCATCTTTCTTTGTTCTATATTTTCGTAAGCGCGCAAATCAGTTTAGGCGGAAAATCTGAAGCGGCTGCGTCGTTTTTGCATAGAAATATGGAATCTAACGCAGAATTGGGTTTCGATCTCTTCTCAGTCGTGTACAGTGCTTGAGCGTCTGATCAATAATAAGCTACGGATAATGTACGCCAAACCTGATCAAGAGCAGAAACTTGTTGGAGCTGCTGAAGGCACAGAGACCGTGGTCTTGGATCACGATACGAAGCAACGCCTGCTTTGTGAGATCGTCAAGGACGCGGAAAGTCTTTGCGACTCAGTGAAAGAGCTGGAAAGGATTGTTAACAAATTTCGCACAGCGAAAACTCGCGTGGAATCCTGGGTGAAGCTCTGCCCAACTCCTGGTCCGGTTACCGCCAATATTCTAAATACGCTTACCGATGCTTTACCAGACGTCATAGAAATGTATGATAAGGAAGTCAGCGCTAGGAAGGCTGGATTAGCTGATTTAGGCCAGTGGGAGCATCGCGATGTCTTCACAGCTGTTGCTCTAACATATAAATTCGAACCGTTTGTAGATAGCAGCATTTTGTCTAGATTATATGCGTTAGTATGCACTGAAATATGAAATATGACGTGTGACTGTTATTGTTCTGGAATGAAGGATTTTCAGAATCCCTTTCTTTAATTAACGTGGTTTGGATACTTACCGTGTCTTTTTATCATAATCTTTTTTCTTTGCAGTCGTTCTGAATCTGAGAGAGGATCAGTCGTGTGTATTTTCAGGAAATAATAGAGATCTCCTTCGATGCTTTACCAGAGGGAGATGAAGTACTCGAGATCTTACGTGCGGAAAAAGCCTCTCTTCATTTTTGGATAGATCTTGGGGTAAGTCATGACGTTTGTCTCAGAGTTTTTTTTTTCATTTTTTCATTTAATGTTGCTTGGATTGCTTTTGCTCTCTATGAAATAACATTTGCGAATGTTACGCATTAGCTAGTTGCCACACTAGCTCCTTTTATCAGTC